CCATGCAGTGCCAGGATGCTGGGGCCAGGCAGGGCACGCATTGACAGGGCTGGGAGAGCAGGCAGGGGTTGGGGGGTGCTCAGGGGGCCTGGTGGGGGTTCCCCCCCGTTGTCCCCTCCCCTCTCCTTCAGCCCTTCCCTGCCCCCTACGTACCAGCAGGAGTCCAGGTCCAGCTCCCTGCAGCAGCAAACAGGGACTGCCTGAATCGCCTCTGAATCTTCAGATCAATTTGGACCTTTTTATTTGTCTCCCGATTCAGTTCAGAGATTTGGCCGCTGAATCAGGCCAAATCTCCTCTGAATCGAATCAGCAACCAAAGCTTCATGCAGCCCTACTGCCCACCCTCCCAAGTCAGTGGCACTGCTGGAGGCAAGAAGCATGGGGTGCAGGCCAGTGGGGAGGCAGGGTCTGTCTGGCACACCGTGCTGCTCCACCCCCCAACTCTGGACTGCACCCTGCATTCCTAGGACTTCTGTTTCAAGTTTCACCAACCAGCTGTGACCAGCCTACAAAACCTAGGACTGTCCCAGCCAAACTGTGACGTATGGTCACCTTATGCGTACAAGATCTCTGAGGTTTAATTTGATAACATTAGAGTCCAAGTGAAGTTCTTTGTGGAAATGTAACATAAAACTTTCTTTTTGCAGACTGAAAAGGATATCCTGTTGCGCCCAGAACTAGAGGAAATCCGGGTTGAATATCCAGACCGCTTTAACCTTTGGTACACATTGGATAGAGCACCAGAGAGTAAGAATTTACATGTTCCCTTTCTTTTTAGCTTCAAATCAGTAGTGGTAATGCTCAGTCTGCCTTTTAATGTCACTGGCTGCATTCTGAGCTGTGCACAAGGTTGTATTATGTGGAGAAAGCTGCTTTTCACTAATACCTCCAAAGCTATAGAACTCTGTTTAGGTGAAAGCTAGCGTACATTCATGTGAGTATATGCGGCTACTTTTTCCACCTTTTGACATGTTCAACGTTGACAGTAAATATGAACTTGCATGGACAAAACTAATTATAAGGAGCAGTAGGAGGATTTTAGTTTCAATAAATTATTAAGGCAAGAATCAGTTAGAAGCTACCAGTTACTGAAGGAAAACAAAGCCAATCGTACCTTCATGTTTACATCAGTTTTGCATGTTGAGTACAAATGGCAGGTTAAGGAATGCTTTCTTCTGACAATGTTTCCTACTCTGATGGTTATATACAGGCAGTCTTTGGACTTACAACACAATTGGTTCCTGAAAACTACGACTTAAATTGAAATGTTGTAGCTCGTAACTAATTTTCCCATAGGAAACAATGTTATAAATAGGGGGCTGGTTCCTTAACCAAGGCCTGATACCCTATTTTCACCAAAAATACCCCAGAATTTTGTACTCAGTCAATTATGTATGAGTAATATAGCTACATTAATGTTTTTATATTATAAATATCAATCATACTGATTTGAAAGGACTTCGTTGAGGTGACTGCTGGACTTTTTGAAGTGTTCTTGTCAGGAGTCTTGGCTGAAGTTTATCTGCTTTCTTAAAGAAAATGTCCAAGGAAGTTTGGACAGATGTTCTCCAGGGAGACAGGCGATGCAGCAAACTTGTTTGCTGGCGTGGCGTGGTGTCGGATCAAGTGTTGTAAAGTTGAAACTGGAGTCAGAAAGTTGAAATGGTGTCAGTTTATACATGTTGTAAGTGCAAAACATTCCAGCTCACTGGAACAGCCTCAGAGCTTGTGTATGAGAAGGTGTACAAGAGTTAGACACCTGCCTTGGGGTACCTAACTCCCTCTTTAAAGTCTGACTTTTACACACGCCCACTCATGTTTGCCAGCTCTTTCAATTCCCATCTCTTAAAATGGGGGTGATGATCTGTCCAGAAACACTAACCATCTCTGTCTGTCTCTTTCTTCCTCCTCCTGGATTCAGATTGGGAGTATAGCCAGGGGTATGTGAATCAAGATATGATCAGAGACCACATGCCTCCACCTCAAGATGATGTTCTGATCCTAATGTGTGGTCCTCCTCCAATGATCCAGTATGCTTGCACCCCCAACTTGGACAAGCTGGGGTACATCAAGGACATGGTGTTCTCCTACTAAAGATGACCGAGGGTATGGTTATTCAGTAGGGTGGAAAGAGAGAGATCATGGAAGGAAAAGCATTTAATGGGGAACAAGACAAAATAACACACAAGGGTGGGTGATACACAGTACTGGGAAGTTCCATTTCAATTATAAATGCTTATTTCTTAATGGCTTAAGCAGACTTAAAAAAAAGAGCCTGAATGTATCATGTTTCATGCTGTACCAAAACTTAATACAGAATCAATGTCACCATGTTGTAGTTGGACAGTGGTGTGTGGTACTCCTTTACAGTGCACATACCACTTGTATCTGACAGAAAGACCACTGAATTACATTCAGTCTCCCAGCCAACAGTAAAAGTTTCTTGGAGAGGAACTATTATGTTGACTTAATGCTATAATCAGGAGTAACTACTTACTTACCAACGCTGTGTACATCTGGTATTTCACAAGGTTGAAAGTGCATGTTTATTTACCTTGCTATACCAAATCATAATCCTCACAACACTTTTACAGTAAGAGGGCCAAGAGCACCTGCATCATCCAGCACTCCCTACAGCAGCAAAAGCTTCAGGCTAACTTTTGGTTGAAGGCTGGCAGTTACCTGGTCACAACAGAAGTGCAAGGCATCACTTTAACACACAGCAGTGTGAGGAACAGAAGAGTTTACTTCCAGTTTTCTGTTTCAGATTTTAAAAAAAAGTATAAAGAGTAAGCCTTTTCCAGCTAGTCACCTGTTGTAACCACTCCCATCCCATGGCACTGAAATGAGGTCTTAAAGGCAGAAGGCTTTGTGCACTAATTCTCTGAAGAACTGGGGGTGGGGTTAATCAGAAGAGCTGATGGTGCTGTTGTGGAAAAAGAACAGTTGTGTGTGTGTCCCCTCTGCAGGAAATCTATGTAGATCTGACAGGAGAATCCCTTTTCTCTGGGACTTCCCTTCTGACCTTTCTCTGCTGCTGTGCTCAGCAGTGACTGCACAGAAGGCAGTTCTTCACTATGCTGTGTTTAACCACGTAGTCTGTTGTCTTTGTATACGATTACTCCTACTTATACCTTAAAAAAAAAAAAAAAAAAAAAAAAAA